GGCCACTGTTCCCGACCGCAATGTACATTTATGCATAAGTAAATGACTCTCTGCCTACCTCTAGTTAGCAAGGAACTAAGGAATGGATCCTCAGTCATCTCTATACCATCCCCAACATTCTAGTAGTTTCCGTTTTCTTTTCCTTTCCAACCCTAAACCCTGAACCCTATAGTAGTTTCCATTTTCTTTTCCATTTGCCCTATATAACCACTTTAAACCCTTCTGATCCCTATATAACCCGATTATACTAGAGAAAGTTTCCATCTTCTTTTCCATTCCTAGTTCCCGCTTACCAGAGAGGGAATCAAAAACTCTTGGAGGCACAGAACCCAGGAATCTCCTCTAGGAGTTGGTGGTCCAAGAGGGACCCTAGGGATACGTCCTTAGGGGTTATATAGGGCTAATGGAAAACACAATGGAAACTACCATATTATAGTAGGGTTCTATGAAGGTAAGAAAGGCCTATAGGGGCTATATTGGGATAAGGAGAAAAGAAAATTGGAACTACTATAGGGTTTAGGGTGTCCCGATTTAGATTGAATCTCGGCTTGATCTTTCAAAAACCTTGGCGCAGCACGATGGTTTCGACTTGAGGAGGCAGGTAGATACCTGTCAAGAACAGCATGCACGTGGCTTGCCGGAGCAGGGAAGACAGGAATGTATCCACAGAATTTGTGGTTCTTAATATAACCATCATAAAGTAGTCTATGAATACCATGTTCCCTGCTGTCCACCGGTCAGCTGGGGATTGGGCCGCTGACCATGACATTTCTAGGCTTTTTTGGTAGTGTCCCTAAATAGGGAACCCCGATATAGAACCCCAAATGCTTTAGCCCGTACTATGGGGACCCCCAAGGAAGTACCGCTAATTTTGGGAAACCCCCATATCCTTCTGAAACAGCCCTAAATCCTAAAGCAGCCCTGGTCAAATGCATCGGAGGGATCCTGATGCCCGGCGCTGAGGACGACAGTGATGTTGTTGTACCTGTTGTCCATGCAGATTTTTTGGTTTAGGGTTTACGCTTTAGGGTTCAGGTTGAGAGTTTAAGGTTTAGTGTTCCTCAACACCAATGATAAGAACAACAACAGCTGGACCAGGGCGGGCTTACAACGATAAGTATGCTTCTGACACCTGCTGGCTGAAGAAGTGGTGGCGGCATGAGTCATGTTGTCGTAGTAGTACTAGTAGGAATAGTAGGGTTTAGGGTTTAGGGGGGTACTGGCAGGGAATACTTCTCTTCCTCCTCCCCTGCTGCTGCTTCTTCAAATACTGGACACTAGTATGGCAGATGCGACTACTGCAATGCTGCTGGAATAGTTCAAGCCCATGAGTCTAGATCCTCGAACTGCTCTGCGCAAGATGCGGAGCCATTCCCAGGGTCACTTGCTGAGTTCCCTTCCGGAAGGGGATGACACAATCACGAAGATGTCCTTGACAGAAGCCCATGTCACGGCGTGTAATCGCAGCTCCACACTTTTTCCTGTAAAGGAACTGCTTCAAGGTTTGCCAGTTCTTAGAGGACCCTAAAAGGGCCATTGAGGTTGAATGAACCCCCGAACCGCTTTGGGCCAAACCTTACAGAGCTGTGCGAAGCATGGCTGTGTACGGCGCTGGGTAGCCCCAAAAAAGCAATCTGCAGCCGATAGCCGGAACATGAGGTAGTTCTCGCTTTCCAGGCTTTAGGGTTTGGGGTCTAGGGTGAATCTTGAGAAGGAAAACAATCTCGCTCTCTGAAGATCCCCAAGGCTACCCTGTAGCCTCGTCACTATAGCTTAGACCCGGTGCCCCCTGTGCCCTATACTTCTACCCTGGCCACACACGCTATCCTATGTTCTGCATGTCTCTACCCTAGAACCCTAAAGGACACGATACTTGAAGGTGTCCTGGAAGTCCCAATAGTCCGTAATTGAGTTTCCTCAAATTTGGGTTACCATTTTGGTGGGGTCCCTACAGTAGGGATTATAGTATGTTGGGGGTCTATGTTGGGGTCCGCTTCTTCATGGAAACTACCATATCCGGAATGACATTGGACTCATGAATCCTCAAACCATTTTGAGCATTAGCAGTGGCAGAGAAAGAAAAAGGCCCAAACCCTAAACCCTAAAACCCCCTAAACCCGTAGTGCTGGGGAGGCCAAAGGCACGCCGCAGCCTACAGACGCAAGATCAGATAATAGGATCTGACCTGAGGTACTTTGCTTAAGGGAATATACCTTGGGTACTGCCCCCCCCAGTAACAGACTGTATTAGGGGTCCTTTCAATGGCTATATAACCCCAGATTGTAGTTATTATTCAACTGTTACTGAGTGGGGGCAGTACCCAAAATATACCTAAGATCCCTAAGCTGATTCAATCTAAACCCTGTCAAGCCCTACCAGAACACACACTTTTGAAAGGAGAGGCGCCTCTGTTAGGGTTTAGGGTTTAGGGTTTAGGTCGTCAGGGTTTAAATATCTTTTCACATAGTTTCCGGTTAAACTGGACATGTAGGGTTCTCCGGTCTTTTAATTAGGTTTTTGAGCCGT